GCCAGACGAACTTCTGGCACTGGAATTCAGTGATGGAGGCCAACGGCTCGGCCTCGACCCACTTCGTGAAATAATCAACCGCCACGATGACGAACTTCCTTCCACCAGCAGCCGTTGGCAGAGGGCCCAGCAGGTCTATGCCCCACCTAGCAAAAGGTAGTGCGATGGTCATCGGGGTGTAGAAACTTGCTGGACGGCCAGGGACAGGTGCATACTGCTGGCATACTGCGCATTTCCGGGTGTGATTGAAGCAATCTTGCTGTATGGTCGGCCAGTAATAGCCTTGCAGGATGATTTTCCTGGCCAAGGTCCGGGGGCCCTGGTGGCTGGAGCAGATCCCTTCATGTATTTCCTCGATCACCGCCGCTGCCAGGCTCGGCGGGAGGCATCGGAGGTAGGGTCCGCCGAACGTCTTCTTGTAGAGCTGCCCGTCAATAAGTTCAAAGTTAGGGGCACGCCTCTTTACCCATGCGGCTCTTCCTGTACTGCCATCATCCTCGGGCTCAGGGAGTGTTCCATCTCTGAGGTAATCTGCTATCTCCTTCGCCCAGTTAGGTTCGGCCACGGAGATAACCTCCACCTGGATGACGTCCGTTGCCGGTACTGGGAACACCTCCTGCCTAACGAAGCCTCTAATGTGTCGGGGGATGCCTGAGGCCGGATCATCGGTTGGGGGGTTGCTTAGTTTCGACAGTATGTCCGCCTCTGCATTCTCCACCCGCGATACCTGCTCAAGCACCACCTGCTCAAATTGTGCGGTCTGTTCCTCCGCCAGCTCTTTGTAGACCTTCATTCTCTCTTCCCTGGTTTCTGCCGTGCCGTTCATCTGGGTTACCACCAGCTGGCTGTCCATTCTCACCTTCAGACGAGCTGCTCCGAGGGCTTTCGCGCATTTCAGACCTGCGATAAGCGCCTCGTATTCAGCCTCGTTGTTGGTGACCTTGAACTCGAATTTCATAGAGTAGTAGGCCTTGAAACCTTCGGGGGAAGTGATCACCGCTCCCCCGCCACAGCCCCGCGCACTTGAGGCCCCATCGGTGTACATCTCCCACCAATTGTCGAAGTCGTTGCTGTCATGGGTTTCGTCCTCGGTGCGCGCGGTGCATTCTGCAATGAAGTCCGCCAGTGCCTGTCCCTTGATCGTCGGCCTTGGTTTGAACTCCACGTCATACTGGCCGATCATCAGGGACCACTTGGTTATCCTCCCGCTCGCCATTGGATTTCTGAGGATGGTGGCGAGGGGTTGCGTTGTGTAGACGGTCACCGGGTGTGCCTGAAAATACGGCGCCAGGCGCTTGATGGATGCAATCAAGGCAAGGATCGTCTTTTCCATCAGTGTGTATCTCGTCTCGGGGCCGTTCAGCGCCTTACTCACGAAGTATATTGGCCGCTGGACGCCTTCAGATTCCTTTAGCAGCACAGCGCTCACAGCTAGGTCGGCTACCGCCAGATACATGTACAATCTCTCCCCGGGATCCGCTTTGGTGAGGACGAGCGGAGAAGAGAGATATACCTTGAAATCTTCGAAGGCAGCCTGGCATTCCGGGGTCCATTCAAAGGGACTGGCTTTTTTCATGATCTGGAAAAAAGGGATCGCCTTATCAGCCAGCTTGGATAAGAATCTGCTTAGGGCCGCTAGACGCCCGGTGAGACGCTGCACATCTTTCAGGTTCTTCGGGGCCTCCATGTCCATAATTGCCTTCACCTTTTCCGGGTTAGGCTCGATCCCCCGCCCGCTCATCATGTAGCCGAGGAATTTGCCGCCCCGGACGGCGAAGGCACATTTCTTCGGATTGAGCCTCATGCTGGCCTTCTCCATGATGTCGAAGACCCTCTCCATGTCCTGGACATGGTCCTCCTTTCTCTTGCTCTTGATCAGGATGTCATCCACGTAAGCTTCCATTGTCTTCCCGAGTACATCTTTGAATAACATCCCAATCATCCTCTGGAAGGTAGCCATGGCGTTCCTCAGGCCGAACGGCATGACGATGTAGCAATACACGCCGTCCGCTGTAACGAACGCCGTTTTTTCGGCATCATCGGGGTGCATGAACACCTGATGGTAGCCCCTGAATGCATCCATGAAGCTGAGCAGCTCGCAGCCTGCCGTCTCATCCACCAGCAAGTCGATCCTCGGAACAGGGTAAGGATCCATCGGACAAGCTTTGTTCAGGTCCGAGTAATCGACGCACATCCGCCAAGTGTCGCCCTTCGGGGCTAGTACCACGTTGGCCAGCCACTCCACGTGGATGACCGGCCGGATGTGTTTAATGCTGAGGAGGGTTGCCGTCTCCTTCCTGATGAAATCGCGTCGGTCGGCCGCCATATACCTTTTCTTCTGCTGTACAGGCTTGGCATCCGGCCGCACGGCGAGTCTATGGCATATGAGGTTGGGGTCGATGCCCGGCATGTCCTCTGGCCCTCTGGCGAATAAGACCCTGAACCTTCGGAGGACGGCTATGACCCCCGCCCTGACTTCTGGCTCTAGATCTGCACCGATGGACACCCTCCTGTCCGTCGGGTCATCGAGCTCGATTTCTTCCAGCAGAGTTGCTGGTTCCAGATGAGCGTCCAAGTCGGCCTGTTTGGCCCTCTCGGAGATGCTGTTGACCCGAGCTTCCCGCTCGTTGAGCTTTTCCATGGCCTTCGTGTAGCAGGCCCTGGCCATATGTGGGTCCGTACGTGCTACCCCCACCCCAGTGTCGGTGGGGAATTTGAGGCATGAGTGCCGTACGGAGCATATGGCCCCCAAGTCTTCCAAGCCGGGCCGGCCCAAAATGGCGTTGTGGGCGCATTTCAGGCGGACCACGACGAACGTCATGCTGATCCGGGCCGTATGAGGGCCGTCGCCGATCTCTACCGGCAAGGCGATGGTGCCCTCGGCGTCAATGCAGTCCCCGGTGAAACCGGACAGCGGGGTGCGCAGAGGGTGCAGCATGTCCTTCCTGAGCTTCATTCCTTCGAAAGCCTCCCAGTAGAGGATGTTCACACTGCTCCCAGTATCAACAAGGACGCGGCGGACGATGGCATCATTCACATCCATGCTGATCACCAGCTCGTCTCTGTGCGGCGCCGGTGACATTGGCAGATCAGCGGGGCCGAAGGTAATTGCCTCGGTCTTATTGCGCTTGGTGGGGGGTGCTGATACGGAACCCACATAGAGTGATCTCTCAAATTTTTTCCGCTCGGCGGGTGTATCTCCTGTCTCAGCGCCCCCGAAGATCACCTTGATCTCCAACTTCTTCTTCTTGCCCTTTGGGCCAAGGGATCCCTCCGGACGTTTATCTGCACTCCGATAATCCACGTCCTGAGGTTCTGCTTCGCGCCGGTCGTCGCGGCGCCATGTCTTGTGCCTTGGGTTCGGCTTCTGCTGACTGTTTTTGTTCAGCAGCTGGGTGAACTCGCCCAAGTACCCCTGACGTATCAGCTCGTCGATCGCTTTCTTTAATTGGCTGCAGTTGTCCGTCAGGTGGCCGACCCTCTGATGGTATTCACAGTAAGCCGATTGGTCAAGCCCCATATACTTCTTCATATCTTGGGGTTCCGTCAGGAGGCCCTTGTCCTTGATGGCCTCGAAGATTTGGCTCACTGGATAGGCCAAAGGTATATAGCGGTCGTCTGGCCGCGTCTGACTGTCCCCGGACGGAGCCTTCCAAGGGACCATCGCCCCGTCCACCCTCTTCTTTTTGCTTGGGGGAGAGGGCCCGGGTCCTGGTTTAGGTCCGAGCCTGTCCGCCATCTTCCTAGGCTGGGCCGCGGGAACTCCGTCCCGCTGCCTGATCTCCTCCTCAATGGAGGCATACTTTTGTGCCCGGGCCAAAACCTCGGTGTAGTTGGTGCCGGGATTCCTCCTTAGGTCCCGATACAGATCCCCTGTGGCCAGCGCACTGGTGAACATGTTGGTGGCCAGACGTTCGTCCAGATCGTCGACCTGCAGTACCTCGTCCCTCCACCTCACCAGGAACCTAGCCAGCGGTTCGTCCCGCCCTTGCTTGATGTGGGCGAGTGCCGTGACATCCTTCCTGGGGGTGGTGCTGGCAGCAAACTGTGCCATGAACTGCCGGGAAAGCTGTTCATATGAGTCAATGGTGCCCGGCCTCAACTGGCCGAACCATTCCTGAGCTGGCCCCCTGAGGGTGCTGAAGAACAATCTGCAGATGGCCTCGTCCGATGCTCCCAGCATGGACAGGTTCCCTTGGTAGCTTATCAGATGGGCCTTAGGATCACCAGCCCCATTATACACCAAGTTCCCCGGGGGCCTGCAGTCCCGGGGGATCTCGACGCTCATCACCCGTGGAGTGAAAGGTGATGTGAGAGAGAAGGAGGGTGTGGCCGAGCCGGCGTCCGCCCGCCTGTTCATCTCGGCTATCTGCCTCTCCATGGCTTCCAGCCGTGCGTCCTGTGCGGCCCTTCCGGGGGACACAGGGGGCGCGGCTTCGGGGGTGGCATTCTGCTGAGCGGCCACAACATCGTGCGGCCGCCTGAAGATCTGCGCACCTCGCCGTTGGAAACGTCGTCCAACGGTGTTGACCCTTGGGGTCTCGTCTCCCCGCGGAATCTGGCGAGGAATCGATGGTGTGAGAGCCCTGGATGCAGCGATGCTAACCCTGGTCCGCCCTCCCGTTTCACGGGAGCCTGAACCCCCACCTAGCCGCTCGTGGACTGAGGGCCGGTGGTCACTGGATCCCGTCGTATCATCGTACGACTGCATGCGGCGTATGGGAGAGAGGGGCGTTCGCTGAGTGCTTGCAGAGTACACCTGCTCTCGGGCCTCCCGCTCGTCCGCCATGCGACGCATGGTGTCTGCGAGTTCACGCATGAGGCGGGGATCCTGCCTGGCCTCCAGGGGAATGAGGTCAGTGATACCCCCGTTTCCCCCTGAAGTCCATATTGTTGCGGATAGTTCCGAGTTCTGGCCGCGGTTCCGCCGGCTCGACTCCAGACGCTCGGAGAGATCACGCTGGGTGTTGCTTCCTGACATCGTGTTTGCAGTAGGTAGACTTAGTAGCTGTTTGGGAGAGTTTCTGGAAACTTTTCGCTCAGTTTCCCACAGACGGCGCCAGTGTTGAGGTTTATTCCTTCAACCCGTAGACCCAACACGTAAGCCCAAAGGTTTCGAATGGAGTGAGTGTATGGTTATCTAGCCCAACAACTATTAGATGAATCAGGAAACAAGAGTAATAGCAGGCAATGTAAATAGGTATTATTAACTTCGTAATAACTCCCCTAAGTACAATCTACTTGCTAACAAAGGCACGTCGGCCGTTCGTCTTACAAGGCAGTTAGAAATGCTGCGAGTAAGAATGCTGAAGCTAGTATGCTAAGAATAGAAAGTTGCCAACCCTTTACAATGGAATAAATGCTTCTATTTATACCCGCCAATGGGCAGGTGGCTGTAGTGACGTGGCAGCCTGTGGACCGCTGGTGTCCCAACTACCAAATCTTTAGCATTAAATGCACTTCCCGCCAGAATCTAGGTTTCCCGCCGGATTAGTGGGGACGTTCGTCCACCGGGAAGTGAGTCGGATTGCTCCAAGGGACCCTTGGGAGATATCGGCTGTTCGTCTCCTGGCCTTGATGGATACTCACCATGTGGACTGGGTTTCCCCCGATGACCGCAGGCTTGCTCTGTGGACGTTCGTCGCCATCCCTGGTGGCCCGTGGTTCTGCTCCTTGTCCCTGCATAGACGTTCGTCGGGATGAGCTGCTGGGCCTGAGTCCTCCAACACCAGACGTTCGTCCATCCTCAGGGAACATGGGCCTGTGGGCTGGCCTAGTGTCCTAACTGGACGTTCGTCTGGCAAGATGGGTTAGTGGGCCGGACCTCGGCTTGGGCCCTTAACCCAACAGATTCTATACAATAATAATATCCTAGAGTATATTCCTAAAATATTCTAAAGTATATTCTAAGGATAGAAGAATATTCTAAAGTATATTCTAATGTCTTTCACACTCCCCCTCAAGTTGGAGCATAGATATTTATCATGCCCAACTTGTTACATAAATAACCAACACGAATTCCATTTAATGCTTTAGTGAACAAATCTCCAAGTTGCTCTCCAGTCTTCACATATCCTGTAGAGATCAATCCTTGTTGTATCTTTTCTCGAACAAAGTGACAATCGACCTCAATATGTTTTGTTCTCTCATGAAACACTGGGTTGTTGGCAATGTGTATAGCAGCTTGGTTATCACACCAGAGTTCAGCAGGCATTGGTGTCTTCAATCCGATTTCACTCAGCAAATGGTTTATCCAGATTATCTCACATGCCGATTGTGCCATAGCCCGATATTCTGATTCAGCACTCGAACGAGAAACCACATTTTGCTTCTTACTTTTCCAAGAGACGAGATTACCACCAACAAAGACGCAATAGCCAGATGTGGATCTCCTATCATCTTTAGATCCAGCCCAATCAGCATCTGCAAAGCATTCTATTCTCATGTGATCATGATTTTGGTAAACAATACCTTGTCCTGGTGTCCCCTTCAAGTAACATAATATATGCTCTACTGCATTCCAATGATCAACTGTCGGAGATGACATATATTGACTCACTACGCTCACAGAGTAAGCAATGTCTGGACGAGTGACTGCGAGATAGTTAAGCTTTCCAACCAATCTTCTGTACCTTTCTGGGTCTTCGAATGGTATGCCTTCTGAAGTGAGTTGCGCATTGGGAACCATGGGAGTTGTGTTTGGCTTTGCTCCCAATTTCCCTGTTTCAGTTAGTAAATCAAGTACATATTTACGCTGAGATAGAAATATGCCTTTCTTACTCCGTGTTACCTCAATACCCAGAAAGTATTTCAATGAGCCTAGGTCTTTTGTTTGGAATTGGCTATGAAGAAAATTCTTAAGGGCCAAAATACCTGCGGTATCACTTCCTGTAATCACAATATCATCGACATACACCACAAGCAATGTGATACCTGCTTTCGTTTTTCTGTAAAAGACAGAGTGATCTGATTGACCTTTTATCATTCCAAACCGTTCAATGGATTGACTGAATTTCCCAAACCATGCACGAGGACTCTGTTTCAGACCATAAAGAGTTTTGCGAAGTCGACAAACTTTCCCATACTCCCCCTGAGCAACAAATCCCGGAGGTTGCTCCATATAAACTTCCTCCTGAAGGTCACCATGTAAGAATGCATTTTTAATGTCCAACTGGTGTAAGTGCCAATCATGAGTTGCAGCGAGTGAGATAAGTAACCTGACAGATGTTAATTTAGCAACAGGAGAAAAAGTGTCAGAATAATCAACACCATAGGTTTGAGCATAACCCTTTGCAACCAATCGAGCTTTCAATCGAGCAACAGATCCATCTGGATTAACCTTAACAGCAAAGACCCACTTACATCCAATAGACTTCTTCCCTGAAGGCAAGTATACCAAATCCCAAGTACCATTAAGATCCAAAGCATTCATTTCCTCTACCATGGCATGACGCCATTCAGGATGAGACAAAGCTTCTTTAACAGATTTGGGAACAGAAATAGAATCAATGGAAGCAACAAAAGAACATGAGGCAGGAGATAACTGACTGTATGACACAAATGAGGAAATAGGATGAGTACAAGACCGTGTACCTTTACGTAGTGCTATCGGGAGGTCAAGATCAGATGTAGAGACAAGATCTGAAGATGCAGGTACTGGTTCAGGACATGAGATCGAAGTCGGACCAGTATCAGGATATGTAATCACAGGTGTCACAGGTGGGGAGTGATCTTGTGCTTTGTGTCGACGGGTGTAAACCAAGTGTACAGGAGGTCTAGGGTCAGGAACAGTGACATTCGACATAGTTACTGAAGGTGTGGTCTCAGGTATAGTAACTGTGTAAATGAGTATTTCATCGTTGTCCTCATGAATATCTGTCTTGGATGATGAAAATGGTATATTTTCATGAAATGAGACATCAATAGAAATAAGATATCGACCTGTACTTGGACAAAAACATCTATACCCCTTTTGAACTCGAGAATAACCCAAGAAAATACATTTCAATGACTTGGGGTCCAATTTCGTCCGATGAGGGTTAACATCTCTAACAAAACAAGTGCAACCAAATATTTTAGGTGGAATAGGAAAAAGTTCTTTATTTGGAAAAAGACATTGATAAGGAGTTTTCCCATCCAAAACAGAAGATGGCATACGATTGATCAAAAAACATGAAGTAGACACAGCGTCAGCCCAAAACTGTTTAGGCACATTCATTTGGAATAGAAGAGCCCTTGCAGTTTCTAACAGATGTCGATTCTTTCTTTCAGCAACTCCATTTTGAGGAGGTGTGTCTACGCATGAAGTTTGATGAATAATGCCATGTTGAAGCATAAAAGATTTAAATGGAGCAGATAAATATTCTTGGGCATTGTCTCCCCTTAACACACGAACAGGAACATTAAATTGAGTTTTAATTTCAGCACAAAATGCAGAGAAATGAGTAAATAACTCGGATCGGCGCTTCATAAAATACACCCATGTCATACGAGAATAATCGTCAACAAAAGTGACAAAATATTTGAAACCAGGTTTGGACACAACTGGACATGCCCCCCAAACATCAGTATGGACAAGATCAAACGGAGCATTTGCTCGTTTATTAAGTCGGGGACTTAAACTAGTGCGATGATGTTTAGCAAACTCACATGACTCACATTGTATAGAAGACACCTTATTAAACTGAGGATATAATTGCTTCATTAGTGAGAGAGATGGATGTCCTAATCGGTAATGAGCTTCTAATAGATTTCCAACCCCAAGACAAGAGATACCTTTTGTAATTGATGTATCCAAAATATAAAGACCACCCGACTCATGTCCTTGACCAATAGTATGCTTCGTTAACAGATCCTGAAACACACAATATCCCGGAAAAAATGTTACAGAACAATTAAGAGTACGTGTGATTTTACTGATGGAAAGCAGATTAAATGCAAAATTAGGAAGACTCAAAACAGACGATAATGGTAATGTAGAAGTTGGTACAACAGTACCAGATCCAAGAACGGGTGAGGTAGACCCGTCTGCTAAAGTGACACTGGAAGCAGGTAAATGTGAGTGAAATGATGAGAATAGATTAGGATTACCAGTCATATGATCTGTGGCACCTGAGTCAATGACCCATTTTGAGGATGATGAAACAAGACATGTGTTTGAAATACCTGAATTTGCGACTACCGAGATAGGGGTAGATGAATGCTTTAGAGATTCTTGGTAGCAAATAAATTTAGCATACTCGTCTGAAGAAATAGCAATTGATCCATCAAATGAACTCGTAGCGGAAGCAACATGAGCAAGCTGATTTCCTTGATTTTTGAACAGCAACTTTCTACATTCTTTGAGCAAGTGTCCAGGCTTCTTGCAGTAATTGCATCTTATTTCTCTGCCAAACTGAGTGGTACAAAACATTTTTTTTTTTGATTTTTTTTTTGATTTTTTTTTCTAGTTGAAATGAAAGTTTGGGATACTGGGGTAATAGTCACAACTTACGGACTCCAGGCTGGAATATAAGCTAGAATAGTTCTGAACCTTTAACAACCAAGAAGTCGTAAATATCAGACACCAGATACCAGCACCGCACCTTTAGGCTCATCCGTTCCTTTCTGGAGAAAGAACCAAGAAAGAATTCCAAAATGGAAATAGAGTATACCTGAAAATACCGGGCACAGGTTGTAGAGGACCCTCAGGCAAGTCAAGATATGATTACCGATCAAATCTCAGGCCAGAAACGAAGTCTCACGTGCCGGCGCGTGAAACGGCGGCGAGCACTCTGGAGGCGCGTGTAATTCACGTGCGTCGATTCGGAGCTGCGGATTTTGAAGGCTTTGTCGCAGACGTCTTTCGCACCAGATTGCTAGGCCCACGTTCACCCACCAGATTTGGAAGGAGGTGAGGAGGGTTGCCGGCTTCTGAGATTGGAGGTTCTGGGAAAATTTCTGAGAAGAGTCTCAGAAGAGGTTCTGGGAAAAGGTCTGAAGAGTCTGGACTGGAATCAATTTCTAGGAGAAAGAACACAGTCTGAAAACTAAACTAAAATAACAAACTAAACTGAAATCTAAACTGGAATGGAAGTCTCTGATACCATGTTGAAATATAAACTACAAAATATAATATTGAAGAGAGGAGGAAAGATTTTCTGTGTATTTCATTGGAGGGTTAAGTCCCTATAAATATACATTACAAAGATAGAATATTCCTATAAGATTCTATACAATAATAATATCCTAGAGTATATTCCTAAAATATTCTAAAGTATATTCTAAGGATAGAAGAATATTCTAAAGTATATTCTAATGTCTTTCACAGATAGCTAGTAAATAATGAAATACTCAATTAATTCGATTTTTTGTTTATTCCGTGACTAGAATTAAACGATCCTAAACTGCAAAATTTAATTTTGCTGTTGTTGTATATGTGCAACATTGACATCATGTGAAAGCAATGTAAATAAAAAATTATAGCACTTTAAAAAAATGTTTTTGAAAGTGTAAAAATATTTTTTTATTTTTATATATTCAATATTGACACATGAAAGATAATAACAAATTACTCCGTATGATTTTTGATGTATTTTTTGTAACAACCGGAGTACGAATAAAAAAGTTATACTCCATCCGTTTTTCAATACTTGTCTCGTATTCCATTTTGAGTTGTTTTTAAATAGTTGTCTCTCTTTTCATTTTTTGAAAGTTTTTTTGATGAATGTATTTATATACCTCATTTTTTTATACACCTCATTCTCTTTCCTACTTTTTCATTAACTTTCCTACTTTTTCATTTAAACACAACTCAATACACCTTTTACATTAAACATATTATTTTCTTCTTAAAACCCGTGCCAAAGTCTAAGGAGACAAGTATCAGAGAATGGGGGGAGTATTAGTTAAAAAAACACAGATGTTTAATTAAAGTGAATAATTATTTTTCTTTATATATTTAATGTTGATGTCATTTGAAATGTAATAAAAAGTTATGAATTTTGATACATTTTTATACATCAGATACAAATTAAAAAAATTATAGCATTTAAAAAAAGCATGAGATTTTTCTTAGGTGGGACCCCTCACTAACATTCCTCTTTGTGGCTTGGCTTATTACTTTCGTGCTTCTTTTGGCCAGATCTAGCTTCGCTGCCTTGCTTAGGTAGGCAAGGGGTGTCCTATTTTGAACCGATAAAAAAATTGACACAAGAAGATTGATTTCATTTTCGACACAATTTTCGAGGCCTTAAGATTAAGGACGATGCTTGATGTACCCACCTTATACCCACCATGTTTGTGAATATTTTTTTTTTGTCTGTGAACCCGATTTATAGACAATATTTTGTTTGTGCAAAATATTGTCTATGAGCCGGAGTTCACAGACAAAAAAAACACTTTACAAACATATGTGGGTATAAAAGTGGGTACAAAGATCATTTTTGTAAGATTAATCTCCATATCCTCTATTGAAAAAAAAGCTAAAGGTACCCACAAATGGGGTACCCCCATTTGTCCCCACTCTAATGGGTGACCATAAATGAGGCAACTCATTTAAGTGGGGCACCACTTAAATAGGTTGGCTCATTTATGGCCACCCATTAGGGTGGGGACAATGGGATACCCCATAAAATAGGGTACCCATAGCAAAGTTGTCCCTATTTTAGTAAGGTAGTATGTTATAAGACAGACAATCTCAATCCAAGTTGTCACTTCAAGAGGCGATTGTTTTAACTAAGGTTTAGCTGCACAGTAATTTTGAAAATACTTTTAATTTGACCTTAATTTGATAAATACTTTTTTATTTAACATTATTTTGAAAAAAACTCATAAAAATGTGTGGGCTGTTAAAAGTATATATAAACAATACATTTAAAATTTTAAAATGTTTAACTTTAAAAAAATTGCCTCATGGACAGTACAACCTTAGATTTTATTCTTAAATGGCTAATATTAAATTCAACCATGCTTAGTCTATACGCTGGTTGAAATGTACACACCATTTTACACGCCAATCAAATTGTCTATGCATAAACATTTTTTTCGTTTTATGAAAAGAATCACTTTCACACGGACAAGTTTTATTGCTTGTATCACATGCAATGTTTTCTTGCAAAAAAAAAATTCTTTTCACAAGACGAAAAAGAATTATGTATGTACAATTATTTTGATTGAGGTGTACATATATCTTTTTGTATTAAATTGGGAAAAGGGTCAGATAGGCCCTCGAACATACATAAAAAGGTCAAATAAGCCCTTATATAGAAGGCTCTGTCTGGCTGTCGCCATTTAGGGCGGTTCCCGGTGGAATTGTTTGATGAATTTTTTTTGAGAATCTTATTCATTAAGTCTAGTTTACTCATACCAAATTTCAGCTAAGACTTCAATCGGGAAGGCATTGAAATGAATTCTTGAAGATAACTGTGAAGTTAAACGCACAGTTGTCTTCAAGAATTCATTTGAATGCCTTACCGATTGAATTATTAGCTGAAATTTGGTATGAGTAAACTAGACTTAATGCATAAGAGACTCAAAAAATTTCATCAAAAATTTCCATCGGCAAATGCCCCAAATGGCGACGGCCGGACACAGCCTCTTATATAAGGGCTTATTTGACCTTTTTATGTAAGTTCGAGAGACTATTTGACCCTTTTCCCTATTAATTTTACCTACGTATTAGTAAAACTAAACAGAATTCTTAGAATATGACCATGCTAGTTTCTTTACTTCCGTATGACTATTAAGGTTTGAAGAAAAAGATTCACGTAATATTATGGATAGTCAATGACCCAAATAACCCCAATTTAAAGTGCGTGCATTGCAGGTGTATCGGTTGGAAAGAAAATTGAGTGACGCCAATTTTTAAGGAGGATAATTAAGGAAGAATATGATTCCAAAGCAATTATCCGAAAATTTGTTTGACATCTTATTCACAAGAATTTTAAGGAGCATGTCACGGGCTCCCTAGTGAGCACGTAGTCCCTTTACCAAATGCATATAAGTATACTACACTCATACGGTCATTAGGTCATAGTGTCATACCCGAAATAAATTAATTTAACGGCACCATCAAATTATTATATTTTGTTCTGGCTAACATCATAAACCAATTGGATCTCGCCTCTCACTCTTTACGATTGAAAGGGATGCATCTTTCAAAAAACTAATTATTTTCATTCTTTTCTTTTTGTTTCTGAAATTAAATAACTAATTAACATGATTAATTAGTTAATTAAAAGAATTTTCTTTTAAAAAGAACTTAGGACTCGGACCGAATCGGCCCTTTTCAAATAGGGCGGGTAATTAAGGTTTGGTTCCTATTTCGAAAATTGGTATACCCGGATCGAACCAACCCGTTAAATGGAACTGACAGTTCTTGAAAAATTATCAATTATCCGAACCGTGCCCACCCCTAGTAGTGATGTTAGATCTGATCTAATATGTTTAATTTGGTGTAATCTAGTTTGATCTGTGTAGTCTGTTCAGGTCTTAATTTTTTTATCTAGCATGTTTAAATCTGATCTTATGTGTGGCTATAGTTAGTGTAAATAAGAATGTCCTTAATTTCATTTAGCCTAGTAGAACTTACAATCGATCATTGCGAGTAAAATTGGGATTGAAAGAAATTGTTAAATCAAATTATAATTGATGGCTTCCCCGATCCAGGGTAGTAGAAATCGAGAAGGAGAACTGAAAAGTGCTAAGTATAGATTGAGTAAAAATTTGGCAATAAGCTTGTGCTCAAGAATAGTGACTCTTTTCCGCAAGTTGGAATGTGATAACAGTAATCTACTATAGATATATTAGAATTCTCATAGAAACATGTTTAGGATTAGGAATTAATCAGTCTTCTTCTTTCATTTAACTATTAAATCAAGAAAACCCCTGACTCACGGGTAGCGAACTTTTGGAGAGCCGGCCCTAGGGGAAACCATAGGCGGCCATCCTCAACCTCCTTCAAGATCCGATTTTCAACCTTTTCTTTTCAATCGGCAGAGAGTTTTGGAAGATAGTGACATTCTCTATGCAGTGAAAGATCGAATCAAAGGTTTTTCTATGCTTCCGCTTTTTTAAAATTTCTATTTTCGAGGATAATTTTGGTCCGGCTTCTTCATTGGCCGAGAATTTTGTCCCCTTCATGTGAGCCTGTGGTATGTTATTATCTTAGCAATGTCTAGAGGTTGTGTGTTTCTAATCGGCGTAACTGATCTGGAACATATTCATGGTTGGTAAAGACTTTTCAACCTTGTTGTTCCGATGTTGCAAATACTCGCCCACCACCTGAACCACCGCCTCGCTCTAGGAAGAAGAAGTTGATCAATTGGATCTCCTTTTCGGTGGCTGGTCAAACCGATGCTTCAGAAAATTTGCTCGACTGATTTTCCTTTGTTGGTTGCTGGTCAAACCAATTCTCCCTTTCCGGTGGCCAGTGAAACCGGATCTTTTATTTGTGATTTTTTATTTTCTCTTTGGAGTAGCAAGAAGAGCAACAAGGCTGTTAGACTAGACTACATTATTGCGGGGTTAGCGATCTGGAATGATTCATTAAATCTGTTCCGTTCTATGTCGTCTCATCCCATTGTAGCCTTAGGCTATTCATTCTCTTGTATCTTTGCTATCGTTTAATCATAAATTAGTTATTTGATTTAAAAAAAAGATTAGGAATTAATCATGTTAATTAATTATTTGATTTCTGAAATAATAAAATTGAATAAAGAGTAATTAATCATGTTGAGTTGCATGCCTTTTAATCTAACTAATAGAACGAGATGAGTGATCTAATCATTTTAAGTTGTGAGGAAGAATTATAAAATATAATGATGTGATTCTCTAAAACAACTAATAATTTAGTGCTTCACTTAACTAGTTTTTAGGATACACTGTAAGGGGGCTACGTGCTCATTAGGGAGTCCGTGACACGCTCGCTAAAATTATTGATCTTATTCATACTCCCTTGCTCCCAATTTCTTTTGCAAAGTCAACATTTTTTGGTCAATCAATAATAAAAGACAATCCTTCTTATGGATAATTAATTCAATTTTTAATAATTAAAATTTATATATTCATAAACTACATTAAAATATCTTAAAAGTTGTAAACTCCAAATTAGAATATAATTAAAAATTGACATCCTAATTAAGTGAACAAAATAAAACTGTTTGACCAAGAAAAGTCAAATTTACAAATCAAATTGGGACGAAGGTATTAAGTCATTGTGAGGATATTTGACGTTTTGTGTGTGCTAGAGTGTTATATATTGTCACATTTATTGGTCAGAATACCACATTGTATTAATGTTAATAATGCACTATTGAATTTTGCAATGCT